TAACTCAAAATAAATGAGTTAAGAATAGCTTCCATAAACCATGACTTTAATTTTATTTTGGTTGGTTAGACCATTACTTTAGAAAGTTATTAGATACAGCCACCACTTTCAGGGGGCCACTTTTGGTTTACGATAACAAAATATGTCATTAGACCATAAAAGGATATTTATCTTCCAACTTACTATGGCAGGGGACTTTTACCAGAGGGGCGGGGATCATCCTATTTTTTACTCCTAAAAGAATTTTTAATCTCACTGTTAGGCAGTGTTCCTGCTTGTCTTGAGTCATACAGGGTATGTTACAATACAGAATGTTTTTGAATCATTTTTATTGTGGTAAGAGGTACATAGCATGCGATTTACTATTTAACCATCTTTAAGTACACAGTTTGGTGGCATTAGGTACATTCACACTGTTGTGCAACCATCACCATCATTCACGTCCAGAAGCGGTTCATCTTCCCCAACTGAAACTGTCTCATTAAACACTAACATCCTATTTCTCCCTTCCCTAACCCCAGGCAACCACCACTCCGGTTTCTGTCTCTATGGATTGGACTACTCTCTATGAAGCAGAATCACTCAGTATCTGTTCTTTCATGACTGACTTATTTCACTTAGCATAATGTCTTCAAGGAAAATTTTTACTGTAAAAGAACATTAACTAATAATCTATGGTGAAATCATGCCGTGTGACTCCACCTGGTCCTATCCACAAAACAGAGAGTCGGCGCAACCTGCAAAGCACCTTCCACACAGCTTTCTCCCCAAAGCAATGAGAAGTGTGTCTGTGAACATAAAGAGACAGTAGCTACGTTTATAACCTACTTGCTCCTTAGGTATAATTGTCAGTCCAAGAGCACCCAGAATACAAAAAAACTGGAAAAAGTCTTAAAGGAATTATGCGAAAGTATTCTTGGGTTTGTAATTTGTGAGGTACAGAGAGGTGCTGACAGATCATTAGGAGTGTAAACAGACAGGATCCTAACATACGGTTGTTTAAAGTAAATAATTTGATAGACTGGCACACTTCAATCAGAACAGGCAAAAGTCAGTTCGGGGAGTGTTTCAGTCATCTGCTGCGAACAAATATTCCCTAAACCCAACAGTGTAACATAGCCATTTTACTTGGCTCACAGTTTAGTGGGTCAGGAGTACGGGGCTGGCTCTTCTGGGGCTTCTCATGTGGTTTCACTGAGAGGTCAGCTGGGACACATGGCATGGGTGGGTAGATGATGCTGGCAGGTAGCAGGGAGCTCAACTGGGACTGTCACTCTAGGGGCAGATGGGACTGCATTGTGTAGATTAAGATTAAGAGTGCTCCTGAAAGGCAAAAAGCAGATTTGGGCTTTTGAAAGAAGGGTGACAGAGGTCAGAGAGACAAGTTAGGAAACTGTTCATTCAATAAACATTCACTGAGTGCCTACTCTGTCCACACAAGGAGACACTGAGGGTCCAGCAAGGAGTCAACAAACAAAAATCCCTGCCTTTGTGGAGTTTATGTTTTACTGGGGAAAACATAATAAACAAAAAAGCACATAAATACATAATGCAAGTGCTACAAAAAATTATGAGGAGAAAGTGAAGTGATTGTCTGCTATTTTATGCAGGCTGATTAAGAAAGTCATCTCTGAAAAAGAGACATTCGAGTCAAGAACTGAAAGAGGGAAGGAGTGAGCTGTTCAGATAACCGGGGCCCAGGACTCCAGGAAGAAAGAACAAGCCATTGTCCTCAGAGAGAGGTGTGCCTGGCATGTGTGAGGACCAGCAAGAAGACGAATTTGCCCAGAATACAGTTGTAGGAGCCCAGCGTGGTAAAACTGGTGTGGAACTGGGAGGCCCTGACCCACTGGAGATGAAGTGGGAAGGAGAGGAGGACATGGAGCTTGCCATTTTGACAGGCTTGTTGGCCAGTTGGATCTGAGGAGTGAGAAATGGGAAGGAATTTTATGTGATTGCAGTATTTCTGCATTGGGAAAGTACATAGGCATGCCATTGATGGAAAGAGAGTACAGAAAGGGTAGCACACCATGAAATCATTTTTGATTAGTTGAGTCTGGTATGCTGGTGGAAATTCCAGTAGAAATGTGTGTGTGTGTGTGTGTGTTTGTGTGTGTGTGTGTGCACGCGCACGCACTGCAGGAGGAAGATGTGGCCCAGAGACGAGGTCAGCTTCAGAGTCTGGTCATTCATTCATTCATTCATTCATTTTTTATTGAGAGCCAAATACTGTATGAAGTCCTGGTATATAAAACAGACATAATCCCTGCCCATCTGGAGTTTACAAGTGGACAGACAAAAAGCAAATAAACAACAAAATAACATAATTACAACTTTAAACATGATACGAGGAAACAAATACAGTACTAAGAGAAGTCTAGAATGTCTTAGGAAAAGGCCTTCCTGAGGTTACATTTTTGCTCAAACCTTAAGGACAAGACAAAGTTATCCATACACTGTGTGGGGAAGAGCCTGTTTCAACACCTGAAGAGAAAGCCACAGACGGCATGAAGAAAGTACCCAAGGTGAACCTGGAGAAGTAGGAATAGACTAGGCCATACAGGTCTGGTAGGCACTGGCACAAACAAGTCTGAGCATTTTTAAGAATGGCAGTGACAGGATTCAATTTATGGTTTAAAAAAATCATCTTGTATATTTGTGTGGCAAGGGGGAGAGGTTGGGGAGAGGCATGGAAGACCAGAGGGAATAATGGAAACCAGGAGAAACCAGTAAAAAACAAAGCTGTAGCAGCAATCTTGGTGGAAGATATGGCTTAGATTAGGGTAAGACAGAGAAGGTAGAATTGAGAGATATATTTAGATACATTTGGAATGATTAAGATTTGGTGATGGATTGGGTGTGGGAAATAAAGAAGAGAGAATAAAATAATGATGCCTAGGTTTCTGCCTTGATTGATTAGGTGCTTATTGGAATTACACAATTTGTTTGGAGGAGAAGACAAATAAATTTTGGGAGATGTGAGTTTAGGAGTTCTTTTGTGTACCTGTCCCATTTGAGATGTCTGAGGAGCTGTCAGGTAGATAAAAGTGTAAGGCTGAGCTCAGGGGAGATATCTTCTCTGGGGATAGAACATTTGGAACCATCAGCACATAGATGGAATTAAAATCCACAGGCTATATAAGATCACCCTGAGACAAAAGAAAAAGAGAAAATAAAACCCTGGGAAATTTCAGCCCTAGGGCAGAGGAAAAGAGGACAGGATGACAACCAGGATTGGATATATTTAACTAACAATATGAATTCTTGAGGCAACTGGTTAGGGTAAAGATATATTATGACACCCCAGTAGAATTTTCCTGGATACCCTTTGAATATAATTCTGCTTCACATTGGCATATTTTTGTTGCAAGTCATATGCCCCATAAAAGCTATAGGGATATTTGTTATTAATCCAATTGTCTGTTGAATAAAAGAAAATAACAACTTTCCCCTCCCCCATGTCATGTCTCTAAATTTGCCAAATGGAAAACAAAACAAAAGTAGATAGGTTCTGAACAAGTAAAGAAATAAGCATGCAGTTTAAGTTCAAATATGCAAGAACTATCATTTCACAAACATTTCAAATATGGTTCTCTTTTCATTTTAAGGCCCCTTTGCTACAATACACTGCATTTGACAACTTTGTTAAGATACAACTGCTGCTGCAAATCAATCACTTTTCATTAAATGAAGACATTTTGAAACAAACACCAAGATGAGCAACTCCATTTAGGAGCAGAGAAAAGAAATCAGCTTTAAATTTTCTGTAAAGTAAAAGAGTGAGAAGTACATACTGCTCCCAAATCAAAAGGAGAAAAATAATTTCAGTTGTGTAGTCAGTGGTCCCATTTCACTCAGACATAGATGGATGACAGGGAAGAGGAAATTTGAACAATGTTTAGTTCAAATTTGAAATTAAAAAAGACCTAAAAGAAGGGACCGTTCCACCAGCACAAACCTTTTTGCCAGTGGTACCTTATTGGGCTCTCTCAGTATGATGCAACAAACCGAACACTGTTACCTGCAGCTCCCTAGGGGCATGCATTTGAACTGTGACTGAGCAATATAGAGTAGAGGTCTCTAAGAATGCCTACTGTACCTGAACAATGAGGATCACATTCTGTAAATGTCCTCTATTATCAGTTTTATCTCCTTCCCTTCAATGGCTCCATCTTTTTTTTTCATGCTCAAAATTTTCTGTGCATCATTTCCTGTTAATCCTGTTCAAATCTGTTCTTAATCACTAAATTTTAGGAATTCTGAACTTCCTTGCAGCCCAAGGTTCTATCTACCTTGAACGCTGAGAACATTCCAACATAAGACTGGGGGATAACTGGGTTTTAACACCCCTTCACCTCTTGCCATTGTGTACATTTTGGTGGGTGAGGTGGGGTACCCCCTTCAACATTTTACACACACACACACACACACACACACACACTCAGATGTAACTCTCATTCTCCCTGGGTCGGCAAATATTTTAATAGGCCCCTTTGAACAGATGTGACCTGCAGATTTATGCGATGACCCCATCGGAAATAATTTGGGATTTGGGGGAGAAGACTGCCTTCCTCTCCAGGAGAGCCTTTATTGTGTACTCTCTAGTTAATGAGCCTCTGGGCCTCAAACTGGGCGAGTTATTATCCGTGTCGGAAAGGCTGGAAGAAGAGAGAGTAGTAAGTTGCCAACTTCTCGGGCCCCGGGGCCATCGGTCCTAGCTTTCTCCTGGCCGGAGGGCAAAGGCAGAAGAACTGGGCTGGGGTCCACTCCGGTTCCCCAGCGGGTTTGCAGTGGGGAGAAAAGCAATCAATCTTGTCTGCGGCTGCGGTGCGCTTAACACTCCCTGCAGTGATTTGCAGCGGGCCTAGAGGTTGCGAGCTCCCCATTGGCTCGCCCGCGCGCGCCGCGCAGCCTGGGGGCGGGGCCAGGAGGCCGGGCTGGGCGGGGCGGAGGCTCCGTAAATTTAACTTCAAGTGCTCCCTTCTTGGGGGTCCCGCGTCTCGCTGAACTTTTTCTTTTAAGAACGGGCGGATGTCAGTGACAAGTTAATAGCTCTCGCTGCGCTCCAAGGTTAAACAGAACCTCATTTGTGCCCGGAGTCTCCTTCTACCGACCAGCCGGAGGCCGCCTGGGCAGGTACTCAACCAGCCAAGGTGCCTAGTGACATGGTACTTGCGGCTTCTTAGCTTCCGTCTCGCTGGGTTTTGGCCCGGTCCCCCAGACAGGTGTCCACCCGGCCCGGGTCCCGACTCGGGCCCCGGCCCAGACCTCTCCACACCCAGGTGGCGGGGTTCTGAGCGCCCCACCACACGTTCGCGCGCACCCATCGCGCGCACCCAAGGATCTTGCAGAAAGCACTCTTCCACACACCTAACTGCAGCATGTGCACACCCCACCCCCTTTCACACACACTCACCCCAGTCTCCTCCCTCAAACATACACTCACGCACCCCTGCCTCCTCTCTCACACGCGCACCCCTGCCTCCTCCCTCACACACACTAATCCCTGCCTCCTCTCACACATTCACCCCAGTTTCTTATTACACACCCTCAGGCCTCTCATACGCACTGCATTTGTCCATCTCCAACGTGTGCACACTCGTTTCTCGTTCTACCTTAGGCATCAGCCTGCGCCCTACGTAGGCCCAGTGCGCCTGCAGATTGCGGGAAGCAGGCGGAACCCCTTCCTCCCTGTCCCTCCATGGTACTCCATCTCCCTTCCAGATGCCCTGCCCAGACTTCAAAGGAGACTGGGCTGTTGGAGGCCCGCCTCCCGGGGTCCCGTCTGGCCCGGAAGCAGACCTAGGGGCCTGGGGCAGCCAGCCGGGATCGCGCCCCGGCGGGGAGGCCGGGGCCAGAGAGAGTGTGCGCCCCGCAGGTCTTTCGCGTGTCTGCTCGGACGGGCTCCAGGAGCCAAGCCTAGCAGCGACCACGCGCCGTGGCGGGTCGGGGAGCGGCCCACCGGCCCACCCGGGACGTAGCACCGGGCGCCCAGACCGACCCGCCAATGGCCTCGCAAGCGCGGGTCGGCCGGAGAGTCCTCGTTTTCACCGCAAGTGAAGCCTTAGCGATGAATGCGGATTCTTGGTGCCTAACTCCCTCTCCTAGAGAAAATGAGTCTCCCCTGAACCCTAAACCATATTTCCTTCCTTCTTTTTCTTTTGGACACCCCTTAATGACAGGCTCTAATCCTCGGATTGGAACTAGTACTTCTGCCTGGAAGATTTCGCTGGCTTTGCTAGTCCTCTCAGCCGTCCCGAAAAGCCAATCCGTTCTGAGCTACACTGATGGCGGGGCTGGAGGAGGAGGGCTACTTTCAACTTCTGGCACCACCTGGGTGGTCGCCATAAAAAGTAAGATTCCTTTACAACTATTATTCTCCACAACTTTATAAAGGCTATTTTGCATAGAATAGTTAGAGTAGCTTAAATAGTCTATTTTGGCATTGATCTTGCAGGGGTATAATAACTAGTATATGTATGTTCAACTGGACTATGAGGTGTTTTTTTTAAACACTATCTTTATTTTCCAGAAATAGATGCTCCAAAGAGTGATTTGTGAAACCGAGAGGCTGTTAAAAATAAATAAAATCACTGTGATTTACATGAGAAATTAGGAGATAGTAATTTCCACAACAGGTATGCTTAAGATTATTGTCCAGATTTATGTTTGTTAGTGAGTTTTTTTTAACCTCCTGATGCTGAGAGTTGCTGAGAGTCCACATGCAACCTTAAAATGAGGGAGGCCAGAGTAAAAATCAGTTCAGAATTAATCTAGCTATCTTTGTCTTGATAAGATAGGTGCCCACATAACCCTGAGTGCTTTTACATTGCATTCCAGGCCTGTTTCAAGATCCCAGGCTAAGATTTTTTTAGTATAGGGGTATGATACTCAGCAGAATGGCTCTAGAACCTAGTCCATACTAATAACTACCACATTCAGTTATGGTGAATTCACCTGGCCCAGCTTTTTAAATGAAGCTGTGCAAACACTTGATCAGATGCACTTAAAATGTTGTATAAAATTTTCTGAGAAGACAAAAAATGAAAGGAAAAAAGAAAAGAGGAGGGAGGAGGGAATCCCCCCAAATAATTTCACACCCTTTGAAAGAAAGTTAGATTTAGATCTTTAAAGCTAAACCAGACAGATCCTACACATCAAAGGAAGAACACAGAAGCCCTAAAACCATCATTAAATACCTCAGGTTTATATTGTTTTCCAGACTAACAATGCCAACTTCCCTTAATATATAACATTCTCTCACTTTGAATTGTCTTTATGACTTTTCTGACCCACCTTCAAACTCTACATGTAAGTGCTGAGCTGTGAACACAGGGCTAAACTGGATGCAGATTGTTCAGTTGTAGAAAATGGCAACATTTTTCAGTAAGAGAACTTTTATCCCATTTAAGGAAGGGCAAGGGTTAACATAACCAGATTAGCTTTTTAGAGCAATTGGAGGCAATATGGAGGCATACTTAATCTTAAGTGTAGAGAAATTCTATGACAGAGCATTAATGAACACAATAGTTCCTCCTGTGTATTGTTAACAATATAGACATTTTTCATTCAACAATAAAGTTTTGATATATACCCATTTCACACATGTAGATATTTATTTTAACTGCTGTGTAGTATTCCCTTAAATATTCCAGAATTTTTTTATCCTCACACATAGACATTTAGAGGGTCTTTTTTCTGTTAAAGAGAAATAATATAATAATGTCCTTGTAGTGTTCTCATGTTTGCTCATGAGAGTGTTTCTCTTACTTTGTCTCTAGAAATTAAATTGTTGGGATGTAGGGTTACATATCTTCATTTTTACTAGATATTACCAAATTGTTCTTCAAAATGATTATAACTATCTGCTTCTCTATTAACTGTATCAGACACAGACTTCCTACATCCTCAGCAGCACCTGGTGTTATCGAACTTTTATCCTTTCCCCCCAACCTCATGGATATGAAATGACATCATTTTCTTAATTACTCAATTCAAGTATTTAAAAACTCTCTAAACCAGTGTTGTCTAATAGAAAGTTCTGTGATGGTGGGAATGTTTTCTCTTTCGTGGGTTTCTCTCTACTTTAGTTAGTCCTCTAAACTAGAATTACATTTTTAAATTTTTACTTATTTTTTCTATTCTTTTAAAAAAGATTTTATTTATTTATCTTTAGAGGGGAAGGGAAGGAGAGAGGGAGAGAAATATTAATGTATGGTTGCTTCTCATGAGTCCCCCACTGGGAACCAGCCTGCAACCCAGGCATGTACCCTGACTAGGAATTGAACTGTAATACTCTGGTTCACAGGCCCGTGCTCAATCCACTGAGCTACACCAGCCAGGGCTAGAATTAATTTTTTTAACAAAGGAAATCTGATTATGTCAACCCAACAACTTTAAAATATGACAAATGCTGCAAAAGTTTAGATTACTTATAGCTATTGCCTATTGGCTGCACCAAATTACAAAGCATGGCAGTCAAGGGTTTTACACCTAGCCCTTCCCTGTAGATCAACTTTATCTCCAGTCCCTCATCCTACAAGCTGTATGCTGAACCTTTCATTCATCTCTACGTACACCATATGCTGGCTCGTCTCTGTACTTGCAGGACTGTCAGCTTGTTAGACCTTTTCTTCCCTCCCCTACTAGTCATGCTTCTTAACCTGTGTGTTCCCCCTACAAGACTGAATTTCATGAGGACAAAAGTGTTTTTCTTGTTCATTTCATTTTTGTCTTTTGAGTGCCTACCTTAGTGCAAGCCAAATAGCTGGGGCTCAGTAAATATTTGTTGAATATTTGCATGCATTAATGAATGAGTTGTTCTAGGAAGAGAAGGTGGCCTGAGGGAGAAAAATGGAAAATATAGTATTATAACTTTAAAATAATTGCTCTCTGTCTTAGCTTTTTTTTTTTTTTAACGGCTAAAACGGAATAACATAGGCTGGCTGGCTTATAAACAACAAATATTTATTTCTCTCAGTTCTGGAGGCTGGGAAGTCCAAAATCAAGGCATGGGCAGATTTGGTGACTATGCTTTCTGGTTCTTAGATGCTGGTCTTTTCATCATAACCTTATGTGTTGGAAGAGGCCCTCTCTCTTGGCCTCTTTTTTCAGGGCACTAATGCAATTATGAGAGCTCCACTTTCATAACCAGTTCACCTCCCAAAAGTGAGTAGTAGCATCACACTGGGCATTAAGTTTCAACATATGAATTTTAGAGGAACACAAACATTCAAGACCATCGCATACTCTATCAGCTGTAAGCTATGGGTATTTTGAAATAAGTGCTTCTTACATTGATTTATATTCTCTTCTACTAATCTTGTCATTTTCGTTATGGGTTAGTTTTTTTCTATTAATATAATGAAGAAAAAACTCACAACCTCTCAGAAAGAGTGGAAAGAAAGAATGGGGCAGAAAAAATATTTGAAGAAATAATAGCACCAAATCCCCCACATTTGCTTGTAAGAACCGTAAGACAAACAAAATTGATCTACATGTCCAAGAAACTCTGCAATCCCCAAACAAGATAAATACAAGGAAAACCACATTTCAGCACATTATAGTCAAATTCCTGAAAACCGAAGACAAAGAGAAAAAAAAAAACAGCCAGAGTGGGCAGAGGGCATTATGTACAGGGGAATGATACAAATGATGGCTAACATTTCACCAGAAATAATGAGGACATAAAATGAGTATATATTACTTTTATAATATTGAGGGAGGAGGAAATGAATGAGGAAGAGGCAGGAAAGAATAACGGTGGGGCAGCCAAATAGAAAGTAAACTTCTAGATACTACAAGTGGATTTGAGGGTGCCTCATATTACCAGCTTGGCTTCTCTATCTAATCTAGAGAATATAAAGGAAGTAACATGTAGGAAACCCTACCCTCTAGGAGCTAATAACATCACTAGTAGTGTCTGATTAGTTATAATAAGGTCAAAGAAAGAAGAGACAGAGGTAAACTAGAGTAGCTGTACAAGGCTGGAAGGGGGCAGGTGGAAGGAAAGATTAATCTGGACTCGAAGAATACAGTCAGATTGGGGTAGAGATGGCACTCAGCGTAGGAGACCAGCACCAGCAAAGAAAAGTAGAGGAGAGGGCAAGGTATTTGCAGGAATCTGACCTAGATGGAAGCAGGCAGGGAGGAGTGAGTGAAAAGAGTAGGGATAACCGTGCCTTATTTTCTCCCATACCTTTGATTGTCTGTATGGAGCTACAGGTATAGGATGGGGAGTAAATGTTGAGGCTCTGAAGTCAGACCACCTAAGTCCAAATTCTTCTTTTAATACTTACTAACCAGCTGCCCAGGCAAGGCACTGAATCTCTTGGGTTTTTTCCCAGTTTCTTAACTTGTAAATGGATAATAAGACTATTTGTATCACAGGATTATAGTGAGGATTGAATCCAAAAATATGGGTAAAGCTCTTAGAACAGTGCCTAGAATATAGTAAATGTTTAGTAATGTTTGCTATTGTTACTAAACAGGGATATATATATATATATATATATATATATATATATATATATATATATATAAAATATCTATCTAGCCCCAAGAGATTTTACCTATTTTTCAAATATATGTCATTCTACACAGGAATCCCTGATTGGGAGATATTATAAGTTGTGGTACTTTCTGGAAGAACCATAATTGACTTAAAAGTAAATTAAGATGTCTACATAAGTGGGAAAGGTCAGCTTCTGGGACTTTATAGAGTCAGGAGTGAATGTAAGATCTTTGGTCTAAAGGTTTAACTGATTTCTCTCTTATCTTATTAGCTGAATGGGCATTTAATCCATTCCAGGGTTTTGAGAACTGATCCTATTTCTAAGATGTAGGTAAATAAGTGGTACATTTTATACCGAATTATGCTTTCAACTTATCTGTGGAAGTGTTTGGAGACAAAAGGGATTAATGGTATACCAGTCAAAACCAAAATTAAATGATCACTTTCCATGAGAGTTTGAAGATATACAAGGTGCATTATGCAAATAAATACACCATCCAGTGTAGGGGAAATCTATTACCAACATCTCTCAAGCCTCTTCTCCCAGAACTGCATAAACTATGTGAAAGTTTTACCAGGTACAGAGGAGAGGAAGTGATTGATAAACACACACTTGCAATAGACACAATGACCTTTTTGTATAGGGCTGCTGCTTTTGTTAGCCCTAAAGCTAAATAGATTGAGTAATTTTGATCAAAAAGCAACCATATGAGCTAGTATAAAGAAAAAAAACTAATAAGATTCTGGTGAAACACACTACCATAAAAACTTTGAGACATCTAGCCAAGATGGAGACATAGGTAGCTACACTTGACCTCCTCATTCAACCAAAAGAAGGAC